GTGTGTTTTCTATCTTATGAGGTGGCCTGCCCCTGTCTGACACCGAGAGGCACACTCTCCATGCTTCCCTTCCCTTGCCGAGTGCCATCTGCACTCAGGGCCTCTGTACATGCTGTTGCCTCTCCTAGAACACGCTTCCCCAGAAGGTCCCTTGGATTCACTGTTCACTGATGCAGGAAATTTCACACACATAAACAGTCCTGGTGGGATCGCCTGCTGGACCTCCTCGCAGGATGCTGCCCTAGTAGTTTTCCATTGACACAATCACTTTCCTTTATCTCATATTTAATGAAAAGCCTGTTTGTTGACTTCCAGTTACAGGTAAGCTGCACAGGTGCAAGGTCTTGGTCTACCTTGTCTCTACAGCTGAATCTGTGACAGGAAGCACAGGGCCCAGTCTTAGGAGAATGATGACTGTTATGAACATGGATGCATAAAGGAATGGATGTTTGGATGGATGGTTGGAAGGATGGATGGGTGGGTGATGGACAAATAGATGAATGTATAGTTGAATGGATGGGTGAATGGATCTTTGGATGGATGTTTGGAAGGATGGATGCATGGATTACAGGTGGATGGATAGATTAATGGTGTATGGATGGATGAAAAGATGTATGTATGTATGTATGTATGGATGGATGGATGGATGGATGCATTGATGTGAAGATGAAACCTGCGGTTTAGTCATGATTACCCTTTCTAGCCCCTGTGCTAGGTTTCTACATTGAGTGTCTGGCATTCTTGCAAAAGTAGCCTTGGTGTTATTTATGTTTGTTGTAGAAATGAAGGAAAGGGACAACCAGCACTATCTTACCCAAAGACACTTCAGGGTTAGTGGTGGCATCCAAGATGCAAATCCACATCTGCATGCGCCCAGATATCATCCCACCATCCAGCTCTGCCTCCCTTAAGGATCAGTAATTCTACTTCTCACATCATCTACTGAATCAGTGGAAGAAAACCCTAAAGCTAACAAAACTGAACAAAGTGTAACTCTACATTTATAACTAAATTTATAAAATTGGCTTAGCTAATGAGATAGTCTTTGTACAAACAAACTTCAACCAAGTGGAGAAGCTATTGCTATTGTCCAACAGAAAGCAGCTGACTCAGTCTATGGGAGAGGAAAGCCTGCCCTCCACAGGCGCTGGGCGGTATGGCCCCCAGCCCTGGTGATTGGTGAAGCAGGAGGAACTGAAACAGAATGTGTAGATCTCTGTACTTCACAGAAGCAGAAGAGAAAAAAGAGGAGTAAGGGGGGTGGAGGGAGAAGGGGAGGGGAGGAGGCACGTGGAAGGGTAGGAAGAGCTGGAGGAGGAGGAAGAGGTAATGAGGACCACAATAATAAAAACAAGAATGACAACACAGACTCACAGTGCTGTAATTTACCTTCCTATTTCACAAGCATGAATTTCATCTAATGTCGTTACCATGATTGCAGTTTTGAAAATCCTGAGATTTTTTAAAGCTCTGTCTCCTTGGCTTCTACAAACAGACCACGGGCGGGCTGGGTTCTAGATGATTCTCCTGTCTTTTCTGGGCCCAATGCCAGTTCATCCCATGATGCATTCCATCATCTGTGGGAGGGATTAAGTGGCCGCCAGGAGAATAAAAGGAGGAGTCTGGGCTCTCACCTCCAAAGTGATCCTTCTTCCCTGCCACGTCCAGTGACCAGCCAACAGCAGCCGCCTGAGCCATGAAGCTGGTGGTGGTCCTCATGCTGAGCGCCCTCCCCCTTTCCTGCTATGCCGGTGAGTGCTGACAGGGCCAGGCTTTGGGGGGAGGTGGGTGTCAGGGCCCCTGTGGCAGACCTCCTGCTCCCCAAACCCAAGGCCAGAGCCCCTCCTTTCTCTGGTGTCTTCATTCCTCATGGCTCCGTCGTGTTTGGCTCTGTGGGCTGTTGAAGCCAGGGAGCTGGAGGTGTTGTGTGTGGGAGGGGGGACAAGGAGGCAGATGTCTTATTGCTCAGAGAAAATCCAAGACCCTGAGTTTGCTCCCCCAGAATTGAGGACTCGAACCGTTGCCCATATTCTCTCTGAATGTCTGTCTCCACTGGGAGGTAAGAAGATGACAATCGTCATGGTTACGCCCAGCAAGGAGTTGGTCCTTTGGAACTGAGCCTGGCTTTGTGTGCTTTCTTCCAAGGTTCTGGCTGCGTAGAATTGGAGGAGGTGATCTATAAGACCATTGATCCTACAGAGTCGAAGACTCAATACATCGAAGATCTTCAACCGTTTATTCCGGGTGAAATCACTGCAAAAGGCCTAGAGAATCTTAAGCAGTGCTTTCTCGACCAGGATAAGGAAACTCTGGACAATGTCCTCGAGATGATGGTAATGGCGGTTCCGTCTCACCTGCTCTGAAGCACTGGCCAGGGACACGCGGGCTCTCAGTTGCTACTAACTTCTTAACAGCAAGTGTTGGTCACGCTTCCTGTCACCTCAGTGAACATGGGAGCTGACATCCAGAAAGCCATGCAAGGGCCGGGGCTGGTTTGCCTGCTCACGTGGTGGAGTCTTTAGTGAGTGACACAGGAGAAAGGCCAGGAGGGAGGAGAGTGCGTGGGCAAAGGCTTGCCTACCCCTCAGCCCAGAAACATCTGATTCTCAAGAGGACCCTCACGTTGACGAGTGATAAACACAAATAGGAAAGCGTTTTAAAGAATTTCCTAAAGAGAGCAGAAAGTTACATGTCAGGCAGATCCCACCCCTCAGGAATGTGATTCCCAGTGCCCTTTGGAGCATCCACGTTTGCTAGAATAAGTGGCTGAACGTCCTGGCCATGAAGGAAGGCCCCATGAGTGACAAGTAGACTCCTTGGCTATGAACCCGCCATGGGTGGTGGAATTGTTGAAAACAAAAGTCAGTATAAGCAAGGAGACCTTCTTCCTATTTAGAACAGATATGGTTCAGATTTTCCTGGTATTCATTCCCTACGCAAGCAGCCCATTGCAAACCGTCCAGGGCAGCAATAGAGAAATATTGCCCCAGCAGAGACATAAACATCTGCATGACTAGGAGCTTTCTGACACAGGTGTCTGACAAGCTGGGGAATCTGCAGGAACCATGATAGATAAACATATGTCAGGAAAGGACACGCGTTGTAATGTGTGCAGTGGCCAGTCTCTGAGGAACAGGCAGAGCGTGGCTTCCAGCGGAGGGTGAGGGAGGGGGAGGGGGAGACGTACAGGGCCCGGGGCTGCACTTGAGCGAGAGGAGAAGGCCCTGGAGGTTGGGACCTTAACACGACTAAACTGTCCATTGAAAAAGGTGAAAGGGTCCTATTTATGGGACAGGCATTGACCATAGTCACACCTGAAGCCATGAGCAGCCCCTTCAATGGCAGGTGATGGCCTTTCTCTTTGCAAACGGAGGTTAGACAAACCCCTCGAGAGCGTGTCTCCCAGATGCACACAGGCTCCTGCTGGGCTGAGACCCGGAGAAGTGGCAGCACAGCAGGTGCATGGGAGGCCTCTTTCAAAGCAGAGGAAAAGCACAGGGAAGGGCTCCCAGGGCCCCGAAGGGACCGGGTCTGGTAGCAGCGAGTCCTTGGCATCATGACGTGCATCCTGAGTGACAGAACAAGGAGAGAATTCTGGCTGAACCCAGCCCGTTCTCTCCGTGGGTGCGGACACAGCCGGGAAACAGGAGAGGCCACGTCTGTGCTCTAGGACGGCCTCTGTGGGAGAGGGGGTGTGAGTACTTCTCTGTGTGTTTCCAGGACGCCATATACAACAGCAGGCAGTGTGCCTCCTACTGACCCACAGGACCTTTCCTCCGACGACAGATGGCCCGACAGTGACTCTCCATGGCAGAACCACAGCGTAGCTCCCCTTTGTGCCTTTTGATCCTGAAACTGCAAGACAATTGTTGAAACCTCCCCCACATGTTCATTTCAATAAAGCACCTGCAACACCAAGGCTCTCTGGTTACTGACTCAAATGGGGACCTCAGGAGACTCCCCTCACACTGCACTGCTCACACGCTGGACATGGGCATTCAGTACAGAACTCCTGTCTGAGACACGGGATCTGCAGGGCGCACTGCCCCTGAGCATTGGAAGCCCAACAGGACCCTGTCCCTGGGAAAGTATCCTCCCCTGCCCCTCACCCCCAAGACCCTCTGGGCTGAGTTCAGGCGCTCAGGCTCCAGGACCCACCCATGTCCTCACGTCCACGCTGCACCCTCTCCCCAGGGCTGGGCTCCCCTCTGGGTGCTCTCTGTCCCTGACCCGAGGTGCGGGGAGGGAGCAGAGCAGTGAGAGAGGGGACTCGGGCAAAGCAGGGCAGCATCTTGGCTTGAACGCCCTCCCACTTCTCCAGAACATCCCTCGTGCCCTGATACCACTAGGCCCAGGCAAAGGACCCTTTCCCCACACCCACAGCTTATAGCTTACCCAACACCCCCCCCCCCCCACACACACACTCACACATGCACACTCATGCACACACGCATGCACACGCATGCACACATGCGTGCACACACTTACACACTCACTCACATGCAGACATATGTGCACACACACATATGCATGCACACACAGTTCTTTAGTGAGAACTCACGGACCATGCAGTCCTGGGGCTCTGTGGCCTTTGGGAAGTTGCCTTTGCTCCTGCTTGACCCTGGCCATTTGAAGAGGCGTCTGTCCCTTTGCAGTTGGTGTGGACTTTGTGACGGATCATGAAGGCCCTGTGCTGGGAGTCAGAAGGCGAAACGGGACTGGGGTCCCTGGAACCACCATCTCTAGGAGGCACATCCTCAGGACTCCGAGCGATGGCAGCTCCAATGAGGAAGCAGAGCAGGAGTGAGGTGCAGAGTTAGAGTCCAGCCCCTGGGCAGGCACCCAGGGTGCCCCCCTCCTCTGACTCAGCACTTTGCCCCCTTTGCCCATCTCCCTGAGCTGCCCCCGTGGGTCAGGGCACTGCCAACATGCTCGTGGGGTTCCCGGGAGAGCCCTGGTCTGATGATGTAGCTGGAGAGAGTTTGTGGGAGGTGCCGGGAACAGTGTGGGTGGTGCCCATAGCACCGGGCCTGGCAGAGGGCTGGGGTCAGAGCTGGAGATGGTGTAGGGCAGCACCGGCTCCCGATGCCCGTGCCAAATAGCCAGCAAGTGAGGCCCCAGAAGGGTGGTTGGCTCCTGCGGACGCGTCCACAGCCAGGCCTGTCAGATCCGTGCAGGTGCCAAGGCCCTGCCCCCAGGGAGGCAGAGCAGCTGACAGCTCCCGGAATGACCACGGAAGGAGCATCTGTGTGAAAGGAGCATGTGACCTGAGGGGATGAGAAGGGATGAGCAGCATCTCTGAGGCATTAGATGCCCAGCCCAGCCCCCCGAATCCCCCTGGGCAGTGCCTCACTGACCAGTGGAGTGAGGGCCCAGTGGGGGACACTCAGCTCCAAGAGGGGGAGGTGAGAAAACAGATGAGACACCAGTTGGCTCAGAGTGGCCACCACAGAGGGCTGCCTTTCCCAGGAGGAGAGCCCCAGGTAGTCAGGACGCAGATGGGGGAAGGGAACCTTCCAGCCAGGCTCAGTGCCTTGGCCGGAGGAGGAGGTGACCTCCACACACTGTTTGGGGAACATTTATCCTGATGGGGTCCTCTATGGGGGTGAAACTTTCCTACTTTCCTCTCATGGGTTCGGGTGGATGTTGAGGATCTGAGTCAGGACTGGACACAGGCAGCATGGAGACAGACAGTTGGCGAGGTAACTCAGCTCCGTCATTCTGGCTCTACTTCCCACCAGTGTCTGTGCGTTTAAACAAATGTTGACCTTCCTGGAAGTAGACACGGGAATTCAACCACTTTTCACATGATACGTGAATAGGATAGAAGTAGCTGTGATGGGGAAAATGAGACATATTTGGGAGGCTAGCAATCTGAATCTGTGCCAGTGACCTCATGCACATTCTTGTTAGCCTATAGTCTAGTCCAGTGATGGCGAACCTATGACACGTGTGTCAGAGGTGACACGGGAACTCATTTTTTGGTTGATTTTTCTTTGTTAAATGGCATTTAAATATATAAAATAAATATCAAAAATATAAGTCTTTGTTTTACTATGGTTGCAAATATCAAAAAATTTCTATATGTGACACGGCACCAGAGTTAAGTTAGGGTTTTTCAAACTGCTGACATGCCGAGCTCAAAAGGTTCGCCATCACTGGTCTAGTCACTGCTCCTTCTTTAGATATCTGGTCCTGCAAGACCTGTTTACCTAAGTACTCCCATTTTAGAGAGGCCGTAAACCATGAACAATACACAACCCCCAGACAGAGTTATCAGCACTGGCACCAAACCAGGCCTTTAGATGTGGTCTCACGCCCCCCCGACCCCCGCCCGCCACCTCCCAACACACGGGGTTAATTGCAAAGCCTGCGAAAGGTCTGGAAGTCCCATCCCATATTTGGAGGACAAAGAAACCAACGGTTATAAAGGGAGAGCTTCCTTCATACTGGGGGGCTCATGATTTGGAGAGAAACAGTCTCCCCTGAGTCCTGTACTGGTACATGTGAAACATCTGAAAATAAATGGGTTTTTCCTGTGCCTCCAGTACTCCTGCATATTTTTTGGTTGCCTGGTAAATTCTGTAACTTAAATAGGGTTCCCTGACCGAGAAGACACAGCTGAATTTTCCCGCGTGAGGCATTGCTATGTGAGAGCAGGCGGGTGGGCCCATTCAACTGAGCCTCTGATGACGGGAAGGCGCACCGCTAGGCTGCTGATCAACTGAAGGCTGCCTCCGTGTCATTCCTTCTTCCCCGACTCCGTCCACAGCTTTGGGGACCTCTGGACTTGCTGGGGCTGGACCCCAACATGACTGGTGAGTTTCCCCCCCGGGGGACCAGTCCGAGTTCAGGCCTGACTTTAGGAACAGAAGAAGTAGCTGATCACAACTTAGGCAAATTATTTGCCTCAGTTCAGGACTTTCTGTGGGTGGAAGTCAAAACTCAGACTGACTGGTGTCTGAGTGTGAGTGTGGGAGCCTGAGTGAAGCGAAAGCTACCTGTGTTGTCCTGCGTCTCTGTTCACTGGGAGGGGATTACACGGTCTAATTGCAAATATGGGAAGTAGCTCCTCTAAACCTGCTGCCTTAGAGAGTGTGCTAAAGAATTTTAAGAAGAGCCCAGACCGCTGCCTGCAATGCAGATGTCTCTCCTTGAAATCAGGGGCCCCCAGCTTATGGTCGAGGATGGGAAACATGGGGGTGTTTGTTGATGTTTTATGTCTCTTTGTTGTTTAATTTGTTTAAAGATGGGGCAAGTCCCGCTTTGGGGGAAGCCTAGCTGTGTGTGGTGAGGCTGAACGTGTGACAGAGATTGCAGGATGTCCCAGCAGCTGCCAAGAACCCTTATTCTTGGGAATCATCATGCTTTCTGTCAGGGTATGAGCCCGCCAGAGACTCCTAGCTAGTGAGATTCCCGTCTTTATGTCTGTAAAGTAGGGACTTTAATTTGCTATTCCTGAATTATGATTTTCTGTGCTGGGTTAAAATTTTAAGATTCTAAGGTTAATGTAAAAGTGTACAATTTGTAAAGGTTGCAACCCAGGGAAGTTTAAAACAAAGGCCAGCTAGTTCCAAGACTGATTGTGATTAGCAAACCATTACCTTCCCCACCTGAGGCAAAGCAGGAGGGGAAAGGGAAATTAAAAAGCCGGAAGTTTCCAAGCGGCACAATAGGAGGCGGTATTTGCTGACTGGGCAAGGCAGAGAAATTTACAAAACCCCGCCCAGCATCACGTCCATTAAACATCCGATTGTCAGCATTGGTATTAACCAGGACAGAACTGGACGGGAAGCGGGTGGCCTGTGCCTGCTTGTGATGTCACAAACCCACCCAGGCCAGCCGAGGCGGAACTGAGACTGGCTATGAAGCAGTCCCAACTTTGCAGCTTCTGTGCCCTTGAGGGTAGGGCAGCAAGAAAATGGGTGGGTGGTAGGCGTGTCCTCCTAGCGTTTTCTCTTTGACATTCAAAGTATACTGTATCTGTGACGTTACTACAATATAAACATTTAATAGCCAAATTGAAAATAATTAACTTTGTGGTCAAGACCAAATCTTTAATGTTACAACTGGTTTAAGTTTTAATAATATTTAATTTGGGTATATTTGACAGCTTTTCCGAATGTAATATTTTCGAGAATTTAACTGAGAGACACCTTTGTGACATCTCAGGGGCCCTGATGTGACACAAAGATCTACTCTCTTCCTAAAAAGAAATATTTCTGAACTAAATTAGACCAATACAATATATTTGAAATTACATAAGGAAGCAAGCTATGCAGGCTGGTTTGGGTAACAAGATTAATGCTTCCATATGATAATGGTCGGATCTTGCTCAGGGGCATACGACTCCCAGCCAGATTAGTGTGTCCTTTCCTTGAACAGAAAGGGAAATCATGGTTATTGGTCAAGAAAATGCTTTAGGTAATAATTGAGTTTAAAAATCTCAAAGTTGCTAAGATATAATAAATAAATGTACAAAACCAGTTTTAAGTAGAGAAGCCGTATAGCCTCAGAGGCCAACCCCAAAACACTGCCGCCCAGAGGCTGAGCCACAAACTGACTCTTAGGTGAACACAAATTAAGGCAGTCTGGATCACAAATACGGCCTGCTTTAAAATAGCTTTTCAGTAACAATTATAAACATGTTAATAATGGAAGTCCAGTCACTCAAGAGGAGACTGACTGTGCTCTCTATTGGAGGAAGGGGCCAGTCCTCTTTCTCCCTGTAAAGGCCTAAAAGAGAACAAGGGCAATGGGACCCTTTCCTGCCCTACCCTCCCAATGTGACCCAGGGACAATCTGAGGGAACAGCCAAGATGGCGATTTTCAATCCCTGCCTCCCGCTTGGGAGGAGAGCTATCTTGATAAGGCTCCAACCACCATCAGGCCACTGCACCATCAGAAACCAGCTTTTC